TTTATTTCAATTATTAAACTCTTCTTATCTCAACCCAGGAGCATTTCTCACTCCTACTCCTCCGATCCTCTTCCCCCATCCCATCGGGGTAGGGGGAGTGAGCGAGCGGCTGCATGGTGCTTAGTTGCTGGCTGGGGCTAAACCACGACAGCAACCTAAACGATTCTATGATTCTACGATCATACCAGAAACACGAAACCCATATTTAAACTAAAAACGTATTAGTATATCATCACTAGGAACTGCAGTAACTTCTCAAAACATGTATGTACAATTTTTTTTCAAGAGGGAAGAAGAAAACAAGCATATTTTTTACATATTTGTCTTGTTCTCATTTTATTCAATTGTTCACACCTACCTATCATGAATACCACACATTTATATACACACGCATATATTAATACATACTGTAATAACATAGAAAACCTTTAAGTTAGTAAAATGCATAGAAAGCATAATTGCCCAATCACTTTTCTGGTATCTGTCTTCCTGCCTATGTTTTGTCAAATTAAGACCTCAAAAACAATGCAATGAGGCAGGTTTGAGGAGCATGAAGATCCTGGGTAAGAAAGAGACAGACTACAAACCATGACACCACAGCATTTGTTTGCAGCATGACCACAACATAACCCAAAGAAAACATAGAAGAAAAAAAAAATTCAACCCATACATGGCAAGAACTTACAGAAAACAGGGTTTAGCCCATGATTTGGTAGTGATGATTAATACATTCATCCTAAAACATGCATTACCATCATTTCACCACAACATGTGCCAGCTAGTGGAACCACATCTTCTGCAAAAGCAACTGTTTATATGTTTCTGTTTCAGAAGCTTAAAATTGTGTAAGTAATTTAACAACGCACTATGTCATTTTACCTTATTAAAGGCTAACGCAGATGTGGTTCATATCTTATTCCAGAAATTTAAGTGTGGCTTATACCTAAGGATACTGCAGGCACTCCACTCAAGTCTTTACAAAATGGATCATTACCAATCACAATATGTGATCTACAGAAAAACTTCTGACCAAATCAAATGAACCACACATAGAAACAGAGCTCAAAATGAATGGTTGAAGAGTTTTAAACTAGGATATTCAGTATATAGGAATCCAGTAAGCAGTGCTAAGAAAAAAAATATCATTACCTTAAGAAAGAACCTCTTATCTGTCCTAACAGGATTGTAGGAGGCAAGGTAAGCAGCTATTAGAAGAAATTTGGAGTAATAAGGAAGTTCCACATGTGTATGTGCAGAAAGTCCTATAAAATAAACAAACAGTTTATGAGTCACCAAAACCCACTCTGAACATCCACAAACTTCAAATCAGACTTGTTTGCATTCTTCTTCTTTTCCTTCTCTCCTGCTCTACTCCTGTAACTCAATGAGTATGGCTGCTTTGTCAACCCCATTATCACAGATACAAAATCAGTGAAGGTCCAAGGAATGGCACGAAGCTACACGACACATTCTGAACTCTTTACGGACTCATCTCAGAAACTGTATTTGAAGCATTGGAGATAAGTAAATCACTAAGGTGTGATCTCCACCCCCACCCCCCCCAAAAAAAAAAAAAAAAAGAAATCCAGGCTACTTTCATTTAAGGTAATTTTTCTGGCAAACAGGGCAGACGAAGAGATGTATTTAAATGCAATGGCAAAGCTTTTCTCCGAGACCCAACCTTCAGAGTGCTCCAGACTGTGGCAGACCGCTCAGCCAGGAATGGGTCTGGCATGGTGGTGAAGAAGCAGTGCTTCACTTATGAGGAACAGTTCAGCATCTCATAATTTTTACCCACTGTTTTATTTTCTAACGAAAATGTTTTCAAAATTTTAAACCTGATCCAGTTGACCTATCCTGCTACATGTATACTTCATTCAGATTAAAGTCTCACACATTAAAACACACAAGAACTACAGTCTAGTATTTTCCTTCCTTCTTTTTACTTTTACTTTTTATTTTTTCCCCTTACATTCCCCTGCTCGTGTCACCACAGTTGCTTCTTTTACACAGCTTATGTGTATGAACAGGATGATCAAACCACCTTACTTCATAAGTTGTCTAGCTATGGAGACCACTAAAGGGTCTCTCTTGTGCCTTCTTTGCTTACAGGTTTTCACTTCAACGATTTCTTGTTCTGTGAAGTACCCATACTCTTATGCTTTAATCCACAAATACCAGCAAATAAAGATCAAGGAATTAAACATGTTTAAAAGTTAAGGTTCAGAGCATCAGTGTGATGAGAACCATCCTAGATGATAGCTAGTAATAATTTCCTCTCACATAGGCACAAAAGGACAGCAGTTTTAGTTTCATTTACAATCAAGAAATTGTTTTATATTGCATGTTAACTACAAAACCCAACACCAAATAAACTCTTATATACAGACTATTTAGTTTAATACAGAAATATCTGTTTCTATTTCATTCTTCTGGTCTGCCAATATTGCATCATGCACTGAACTATTTCCTTATTTACATCCACAGTAAAATTTATTATAATTGCTTTTTAAGCATGTTATTATCAAATGCTGTTCACCAACAAGACAATTCTTCCTACTACATATACCTAAAAATCCTAGAAAATGCATTTTAAGTAAAATGTCCCTTTTTGGGATTGTCAGGTGCAAAAGTATTTCATGATCATCTGGGCACAGAAGGAGGGAGTTTAATAAGAACACTTTGAATCAAACTCCTTTGGTCAACGATGTCAAAAAATTACTGATCATAAAGCAAAAAGAGTTAACAGTCTGATGATTGCCATTATCTTAAATACAATTTTAAAATAAGTGGCTATCTTACCTACTATCTAAAGAAGAAATTATTGGTCATGATAAATAATATGGAAAAAGTGTTCCCAAACTAGACAGAGTTAATTTTCTTCATAGTAGCTAGTATGGGGCTATGTTTTGGATTTGGGCTGAAAACAGCGTTGCTAACACAGGGATGTTTCAGTCACTGCTGAGCAGTGCTTACACAGAGTCAAAGCCTTTTCTGCCTCTCACCCCACCCCACCAGCGAGCAGGCTGGGGGTGCGCAAGAAGCTGGGAGGGGACACAGCCAGGACAGCTGACCCCAGCTGACCCAAGGGATATCCCACACCACATGACATCATGCTCAGCGTATAAACCTGGGGGAAGAAGAAGGAAGTGGGGGGACATTTGGAGTGATGGTGTTTGTCTTCCCAAGTCACTGTTACACATGATGAAGCCCTGGTTTCCTGGAGATGCTGAACCCCTGCCTGCCCACAGGAAGTGGTGAATGAATTCCTTGTTTTGCTTTGCTTCTGTGTGCAGCTTTTGCTTTATCTATTAAACTGTCTTTATCTCAACCCATGATTTTTCTCACTTCTACTCTTCTGATTCTCTCCTCCATCCCACTGGGGAGGAGTGAGCAAGCAGCTGTGTGGGGCTTAGTTGCCAGGTGGGGCTAAACCACAATAGTCAACAATGTCGAAAAATTACTGATCATAAAGCAAAAATAGGAAACTGATGACTGCAATTATCCTAAGACAATTTTAAAATAAGTGGCTATTTTACCTACTATCTAAAGAAGAAAATATTTGTCATAATAAATAATACGGAAAAAGTGTTCCCAAACTACGAACTGGTCAAAAGACCATGACCAACTGACATCACCAGGAAAATGTTTTAGTATTCCTTCAAAAATTGTAAATGAAGGCTGACAGATACATAGAGATTCGACTTTCAAGCCTGTCTGAAGTATAAAATCAACAAAGCTGTACTCCTCCAAGGAAAGAACAGAAAGAATTCTTGTGATTCTGACATTTCTCTTTGCCAAGATATCAGGACACAGGACAGCTGTTTTGTTTAGGAATGTGTTAATCCAGTGTAATACACCAGGTATAATACTCCCTTCTCCCCACTCAGACAATTCTGCCAGTTGGCACACAGAGGTTTGACCATCGGGGGTCAGCTCATTCCTCATCCATTCTTACTTAAGAAATACTTATTTAAAGAAATCTGCTTTTACCCACAAAGGACCTTAGGAAGGATTACTCCCAGGACATATGCTAGGGGGAAAAATAGTTACAGTCCTTTGTAGAACACCTTCTCAAAAACATGATTAGCCTGAACTGTAACTGAATGCTAACAGGTAGCCTTGTCTATATAATTTCATTCACTTGTTCTCAGATAACAACAACCACGTCAAACTGAAAAGTACACATTTCACGTCACAAGCCCCTACAGAGTTAGTGTATCTGATACCTTTCAACTGCCCAGGTTCTCCATCATCACGCTGTAAGCGCTCCCACTGTGAGCTAAAAGACAGATAATGCAAATATATAAAGACAAAGTATTTGTTAGTATTTTAGAGAAAACTACCCGTTTGGTATATGTATATTTTAATTTCATGACACTGGCTAGGATACAGTTAGTAAGAGAATAATTAAAAATACCAAGTCTTACTACCTTGCACTTAAGTTTCAATAATGTGCAGACTACACATATTTGAAAAAAATGGAGAAAGTAATGTTATATTAAGGTATAGGAGTGCAAGCTGAATGTAAAATGCCAACTTCTTTTCATTCAACTACCACCCATAAGCAAGTATCAACAGCATTCTAAGTTTCAAGAACAATGCAGAATTGGATAAAAAGTAAAAACACTGATAGCTTTGATTTTTTTTATCTGCTTAGTAACTGTTTATCCTAATGAGAACAATACTATAATTACTGCATAATGTAATTTTAAAGTCTACGTCAAAAACAGAGCAATATTCATTCCTCACTAAAAAACTTCGAAGATATCAAGATGGAACATTTTGTCAGTGAAAAATGGCTGCAAGTAGTTTGGTGGTTTTCCTAAACAATAGCAAAAAAATTCACTTTAGAACTTCCCTTAAGGAACAACATTGTTAGAAAAGTAATTATTTTAGATCATTTTGTATACCACAAGGGGATAAAAAAACCAGGTTTGTTAAAGCACCAATGCTTTTTCCTTTTGTTTCATTTTTTAAAGATCTTTACGAACAGGGTTTATCAGTAATAAGCCATAAAACTTATGAAAACAGTTTAATGATAGCTAATGCAATACTCAAATTATAATGAATGATCAACCAAAACATCAATAAGCAAATTTGTTATCCAATGTCTATTTTACAGGTAGAAAAAAAAAGTTTCATTTTCATCTCAGTTCAGGCAGCACAACAGCTGATAGCAAAGTTCTATTCCTATAACTTACAACTTGAAGAAAAGCCCAGAGTAATTACAGTTCTGTGGCCAGAAAAACTGATATGGTAATTTTAATTCCTCAAGCATTTACAGGTACACAGAGGTAAATCCTAGAACTACTATGCAGAAAGCTGAAATTTGTAATAAAAAACCCAGTAAAGCTCAAATTTATAATCAAAGAAAACTGTAAAGAGGGAAATCTAGTTATTTGGAAACAAATCATAAGCTATTTTATATCGTAATCTTGTATTACACCCTAACTAGAGTAGGCAATTACACAATATAAAGTCAGGAAGATCCTGAGTAGACTGTGTAATGAAGATCAACATTGAGTATAAATGCATACTTGAGGCAAATAGAATAATGCCTCATAGTACAGTGAAGTCTCTTTTTGAAGGAACTTTTCCAAAACAGTTAGCAAAGACTTCTACTATGCACCCAGGTTCAGTTACCAGAATACTCTATGGCTTCAATAACATTCAAAGGAAAGAAATCATTATGTTTGTACCAAGATAAAGAAATGAAACACTACTGAATTATCTCTCTTTACATGGCGTAACATCAGAATCACTCATCTTAAAGATGGAGAAGACATTAAATCTGAGCTGATTACTACCATTAAAAATTAACACCAACATCTTTTTTCTAGCAATCTGGCAACTTAAGAAATAAACAGGGAGTCTAAAACCATACCAAGAGAAACTCAGCCCATTAGCAGAATGCCAGCTTTTAATGCTGTCAAAAATGGTAATTCCATCTAAGGAAAATTTTGCCCTTGGTCAAGAAAACAAGGGGTCAGAAAGTACAGTAAACATACAAACCTAGCTCTCCTAAACAAAGCTAAGGAACACAGATGTTCCAAATCTGCAATGTCTCATAAGAAGTTTGAGGCTTGCATGCATCCTTGGTATAGTGAGGATCTGCCAAGTCAACTTCACAAGTCTGTTTTAAACTGTGCCTGTATATTCTCGCGATGGATTCCCATGCTTGGCAGTTTCATACATGACAGAAAATGGATCTACCTGCATGATCATCAGTGAACAGAGAACACAGCCTGCTGCCACTGCTTTACTTATTATTTTATATGCTACAAATACCATTTTGTTTAAAAATTTCCTTCTGAGATACCCTATTTCTAACATTATATGGCAAGAAAGAAATGCATGTCAAAGAAAAAAGATTCTACCTAGCAAAAAAGAAACATTACCCATGGAACATAACTGAGAGAGTAAATATTTAGAAAGAAAGCTTATTAAAAACAGCAACACCAACAAAACAAACAAGCCTTCGCCCCCCAAGTTACCTGGATATTTCCCGGAGATAAACAGTCTGCATTGCCTTCTTCAAATGAGGTTCAATATTTTTCCAGAGTTTGCGGGTGTCACGTTCATTTGCTGCACCAAGCCAGAATCAACTCTGTTAAACATTTAACTCACACAGCACTAAACTCTTATCTCTGACACCTGAACAGTCGCAGGCATGACATAGTAAGTCTAACACCCTGACTCTGAAATGCCGTATTAGGATGACGCACCATCATCATCCATTTGCAAGCACATGCTACCACACAAGGCTGTTTCTCTGTGGTTTATTCTGAGATACAGTGGGACAGTTTGGCAGAACCTCTGCTCTCATTTCCTCCTCTTAGCCTTGACAGAGAAATTACTTATCTCACTGCTTTGCAGAAGTCCTGGTGGTTGAGTGAGGGGAAAGATCTATAGGGGGAAGCAAGTTTTCACAGTATTTCTGTCTCATTTCCATAAAACACCACCAACAAATGTCATCTACTGCTTCTGCTGCAAATGCTGTCTACTGGGTGCAACTGGAATAACCAATGCTCTTGTGACCAGAGAAATGGTCACAACACAATGAGGATCAAAGCAAAGTCCTCCACAAAACCTGCAGGACGGCACCCACACTCTCATACACCTGCTCAAAATAAAGACAGAAGCTTACCTTCTCCTCTGACCACTGGTTCACAGTATTTAGAAAAATTGAGCACTGCCTATAGAAAGTAAAAAGTACAACATATTAAAAAGGTACTATATAGCTGATCTAGCTACAGAATGTAACAAGCAGCGTAATTCATTACTTTGCAAAACTAATGAATTATTTTTCAGTCCATAATTATGCCACTTGCTTCCAAAAGTTATACTGTAAAACATCACAACATTTCTGTAGATTAAAACACAAACAGAAGTAATGTATCACAGGTTATTTGGTTTTGATCTGAGCAAAATCTGGTTGCATTTTTTTTAAAATAACATATAATTAAACCTCATAAATGCAATAAAAATGTTTTAATAAACTTTTTTCACTCCCTTCATTTTCAGATAAAACTTTCCATTCCAGGAGCAGTTCAGCATGTTCAAAAGTAGGCCACACATACTTACACACACAAGCAGAAATTCTTTTAAAAAAAAAAAAAAGAAAAAAAAGCCCCTGCTAACACATTCCATATTCAAACAAACTCCTTTTGCCTAAGGTAAGATTGAGAGATTTTTGATGAGGCTGTAATCTAGATTTTTTTCTGTAGTGGTTAAATCAATATCAAAGAGAATTTTGTAACATAACAATCCTCACATTTCATTCTCCTTTTGTCCTACTGCACCTTATTAAATCTCCGTACTAGTATACAGAACTCAACGCAATAACTTCCACACATAAATCTAATATAATTCCAGAACGTATTATTAATAATCCTGCATAATAACATACACATTTAGAGTGTATATTAGACACTACGGAGTTGTTCAGAAGCCTACAGACAGTTGCATGTGTCTGTCATTACCTTCTACAGAAGAGACTTGTCAAGCACAAAAAGAATTTAGGGCCCAATTACATAAATCTTTTCATCATGTTGGTATTTCACACACACACAAGCAGTGCCTCTAAAGCTAATGAAATTATTCTGATAAGCAGAGCAACTCAAGTACATGTCTGGAAGAACTGTGACCCTAGTTTCTATTTCTGTGTCCATCAGATTTCAGCAATCTCATTTAAATATAAAACCTGTATAGTTAACAGATAAGTTCAGCTGAAGTTTAGCTGTGTTTTCCAATGGAAATGCAGGCAGAACATTCAGATCATCTCACTAGCACTGATTTGTTCACTGGCCATATGCACCGATCAATTAAAACTTGCAAAATTGCCTTGTACACAGTATAGTTATTTAAATAATAATCCAATGAGCTAATAATTGTTACTGCCATTCAGCTTTTCTTATGCAAAGGTCACTGTCAAGTAATTTTTATTTTTATTCTGTTAGTTTGTTTGCTATTACATTCTTCAATTGATATATGGTTAAAACTCCTTTTTCCAAATATCTTCAGTGTATTTTTGTTCCCTCAGGCATGACTAGATTGCAGGGACTTTGACTTACCTATTCTTAAGTCCAAAAGAAAGACAATAAAAACATTTATGTCAATCCTTACTTCTCTAGGCCTTTGAGTCAAATTAATATGCTATGTTTCTGTAAAACTGCAACAGATCTGGCTTGCAGCAGTTTGGTTATCTTAAAATTTGAAACATTTTCATATATAGGAGTGTAAAATTTTCAGTTGATTTGCCTCCTACAGAGGATTTTAAGTTAAATTTCCCATGAAGTTGAAGTATAAATGTTGGGTGGCAAGTTACATTTAATAAACATGGGAAACAATAGAACTTGAGGTTGGACATGCTGAGACCACGCAATTGAAGTTATTCCTTCAAATGTTGAAAGCAACTGTCTGGCATTCCACTGCATAGTCCAGGAAATAAATACAATAGAAGGCTATTTAGGGATTACCAAGTCCACACAAACAAGACGGTAGCAATAAGAGCAAAGCCACATAACCACATATAAGAACTCGAAAAGAAGCACAGTGAGGCCTACCATTGCTTGAAAGAGTAAAATCGTAACTCTTACTTCCTCTGACTGAATTGCAAACAAACAAACAAAAAAAATCATTAACCAAGTCTCTAATGGAGTTGTCCCTCAAAAGCTGCTGCAGTTGCAGCAACTGTTTCCACTATACTTATCAGTAGGCGTAAAAGGTTTCATCACATTTATCTCCTTATCCCAGGTGAAAATAGGTAGCCTAGTGTTCTCAGTCACTCTCTGGTATCAAGGAAGGGCTTGAGCTCAAAAGCCCCAACAGAAGTTCTAGGCTGGGTGAACCACACGCAGACTGGCATCTCATTAGTGCAGCTTTTGATCCCTCTAATCAAAAACTACATAGCAATGGAAATCCTTTACAGCCACCAAAACAATTGCAACCTTTGTTATGGATTTTTAGGGAAACTGCATTTTGAGCTAACGCATTCTTAAGAGGGTAGATTCAGACTACGTATAAGGAAGCAATTTTTTACAATGAGGGTGGTCAAGCACTGGAACAGGTTGCCCAGAGAGGTGGCAGATGCCCCATCCCTGGAAACATTCAAGGCCAGGTTGGACGGGGCTCTGAGCAACCTGATCTAGTTGAAGATGTCCCTGCCCATAGCAGGGGGGTTGGACTAGATGACCTTTAAAGGTCCCTTCCAACCCAAACTATCCTATGGTTCTATGATTTTCTCTTTGTCCATACTCAACAATAAATCTAGACTTTCAGAGCTTATTTGGTAAAAACACCCCAAAATAAAACAACTCTAAAGAAGCTCATCTTACCAGATGCTGAAGTTCTTTCAGGTCCCTACAGACCATATAGAAGACACCAAGCAGAATATTGATATATGCAGCATAGAAATCTGCAGAATATTCTGAGGGATGATTCTGAGACAAGATCTTCTGCAGGTGTCCTGTTTAAACAAAAATAAGTTTTGCTTATTTAAAGCTAACTTAATAAACTGACCACATTTTACAAGTTAAGTGGAAAAACAAACTATGGTCATCACTAAAAAAAATAAAATCCAACAACAACTACACTGATTAAAAGAACCAGCAAATATAATGGAACCAAAATGTTACTTTGAGATGTTCTGGCAAGTGGAAAAAGACAAGTCTTTTAGAGGTTGTGTGAATATAGACTTTTACATTCCCATAGCTATTACCTACTCCAGATTCTGTAAAAGGTGTACTGATAATCATGGAAAAAACATCTGGATGTTGTTTGACAAAGTATTATTCAATCCCTGAAAAGCAGATTAAAGAATTAGCTTACCTATACTGTAATCAGGAAAATACAAGGTGAATGGCTCAAAGCATCCAGTATTTGGACGGAACAGTTCCCATACTATTTCACTGAGCAGGACAACTGTCACATTCCTGTCAGTCTATACATGGAAGGAAAAAAAAAAAAAAAAAAAAAATGGAGTGACAGATAAGCAGAGAAAGAAAGAAAAAAATAACACTGCATGTTACAATATCTATGAGAAAAATTATGGTGACTTTTCTGTTCCACAAAAATCATCAAATGTACAGTTTAGTCCAGAAAGTTTTGTGGACTTTTCTGTTCCACAAAAATCATCAAATGTACAGTTTAGTCCAGAAAGTTTTGTGGACTTTTCTGTTCCACAAAAATCATCAAATGTACAGTTTAGTACAAATTACTAGCATAGTAATAAAGCTTCAGCTGGTCTAATCAAGAAGCTCATACATTTGCAGATTTTCATAATTACATGAGATTTCTCTGCATCCCTTGCCATTTCACTGACATGTAAACTTTGCGGCATGATAGAGCTCTGGGACTAGACAATACCAAGTAGATTCCAGCCCTTTCCCAAAATAAGACAGCATTTTATTTCGGTAATTAAAGCCAGACTTTCAGAACAAACAGGAAGAGTTAAAAAGCGAAAAATCTCAATGCTTTCTGACACCCAGCTATCTAGTACTTTAAAAGGTAAGCTGGTCTTTAAAAACAAACAAAAAACATCCCAAAACAAAAATAGGATTAACTGTGTACTCTACCAGCTTCATTCTTCCTTTTTGCAAGGTTTTTGCAACCATACTAAAAATTCTGCATAACAAAAGATGCTTTTAAATATGGTTCTTCAAGAAAGGCATTTCAAAACTATTGAGACACCTCAAGAAAATAAAAGGAAATATCCTGATTGAATTGACAATGCTTAATATGAGCTGTGAATGACTTGAAAGAAAAGTTTAAATGCTATTCCCCTTCCCTGAAATTCAGGGAGAATGTTCTTTTATTTACTCTTCCCACTTCTTGCCAAAGTGTCACCCACCTACATTCTTTACGTTTTTTCTTTCTCTATCTTTATGGAACTTTTTTTTTTCCCCTTTTAATGAGAGCATCTTTCTGTAGATTTCTTTCAATTGTGCTCCTCTCCCAGACTTCCTAGTATTTTAGCTGAGAAAAGTACTAAAGTATTTTCAGTTCAGTTCCTGATAGACCTTCCAATATGAAAAACTTAAGTACTTCCCACCATAATCCTCATAGAAATCAAGCATCCTATGACCCATTCTTTGCCAGTGATCCCCCAGTCCCATGAAATCTTTCACCACTAATGAAGTTTCTTGTCTTCTTTAACTCCAGGAAAGGAAGTGACGCAGTAGATTTGCTCCTACAACATTCCTCTGCAACATCAGCTGCACAACAGTTTTACAAAGCCTCAGTCCAGAATCCAGAATTTAAGCAACTGGAATCTCAGCATTCAGGAAAGCTGACAAACTTATTTGGAGGTTACTTTTGAATTTGAGGGTGTTTCTCTAGCATATTTAAGTCGTAGCCTATGTTTTTTTGGTCCCTGAACAGCAATCACACGCCAAAGTTTTCCTCCTTTCTCTCTGTCAGACAGGTTGTTTCTGCTTCAGTGACAGCAAAATCCAGAACATGGGCAGAACAGACAAATAGAGCCAGAAAATGCACCAGCTGCCAGGATTAAGAACATAGCTGTGAATTTACTTCATTCAGTAAACAGAGAAATCAATGTCACCAGCAGATTAAGAGTACCACACAAAAGTCTTTGAGATAACAAGTATAATTTCATCTGTTTAGATGTTCAGACATTTCAAAGTACCACCATCTTCTGGTTTTGCCTTCAGTTTCTTTTCAGAGAATGCACCATTCTTCCCTATTCCAAGGCATAAGCTTTGATACTTCACAATTGAGAGAGGGAAAGATACAGTGGTTTACTCCAATTAGAAACATACTCTGGCACAATTCCAGTACAAGTGTAAAAGCTCTCTGGCATCATAAAGCACATTCGCAGCTGCTGAGCTGTGCAGCTCCAGACACAATGAAATAGCTGGTGGGCTACTGACCATCCTCAAGCCAGCCACCATGCAATGTTGTGAAGCTTCACACTGGAGAAACTTGAGGAAAACAAATGTTTCCTGAGTTGCAAATTCATGCTTCTGACGCTGAATTAATTCAATGTGATTGGGCTCTCTTGAATCAGCAGCTGACTCAGAAGCAGACTTTGGATTCCCACACAAACATCCGACAAATGCTAAAAGGGGTTTTATTTATTTATACCATGCTAATAGGAGCTATGTTGAAGCTTCTCCTTATAGATTATAGTCTGCCTGAGATTTTTTTTCTGCAATTATTACAAAACTTTAAATAAAGAGTAGAAAAATTTCACATTCTTCTTAAAACCAAAAAAATTCTAGAAAAGACAGCTCTGTATCTGACACCAGCCTCAAGAGAATCTACAACAGATCAGATACTGTAAAACAAGATACTATTAAACAGAATTTAAAAAAAAATTAAGAGTGTAAGAAAAACTTGCCAATGTTTAAATTCGGGTTCGGTTTCTAATTTTGACCACTGCCAGTTGATTACTTGGGGGGCGGGGATTAATTTTGCAACTTTTCTCATCTAAAGAATCACTTACCTTGATCTGTGAGCCTAGATGGACAGATACCACATGTTCAGTTACTTTCAATACGCAGGACACATATGTTAATTTTTTTTCCAGGCACTTACCAACTCTTGAAGCCTAAGAAACGCTGGCAAGATGTTTGCTTCCATTTCCCTCAGCTGCTCTGCTCTATCCAGTACCTTTTAACAAAACAATGATCTTATTATACAGACAATGTCAACTTCCATTCTCATGTGGACTTAAAATTAATTTTTAGCTGCTGGAAACTCATTTCACCAATGGCAGAAACCACTTAAGTATCAAGACCCCTTAAGCAAGCAACATCAGAGAGATTATTGCTTCAGGTGTGCTTCCAGGAAGCCCAAGCAGTTCTGCCATCTAAAAAAAGACACAACCCCCAGGCAAGCAACATTCTCATGCCTCAGAGCAGTAAGAATTAAAAAGTAGGTATACCAGTCAAGAATATCACTGACAAAGTCATGATATCATTAAGAACCATTGAAACCTCAATTTTTGTCCAAAATTCTTCTTGTATTTAAAAATTATGTGTAGTACTGTAGCACTATATCAACATGCTTACTTTAGGAGAGCTATCTTTTCCCACTATGAAATTATTTTTCAGAAACAAATTAACAGCAGATATTTTCAAATACTTAGCTATCATCTGGAATTCACACAACTGAATTTTGAGAGGAACTTTTCTTGCCACAGTTTGCAGCCTAGAAATTTACAGGATTTATTGTATTGTATGCAAATCTCACATAGCATTAACAGATATGTAGCATGTGTACAGCTTAAACAGGAAACACTTTATCTAAACAACTAACATTTTGGAGCCTGGAGAAAAAAAAACAGGAGCTTGAAAACATGCACGGTTATCCTTTGGCAAAAAAAAATCGTATTCCCAGTACACTTAAAATCTTGACAGGAATGAAAAAAAGAGAATAGAAACACATTTCCTTTGTGTTTTATTTACTACTTGCAATAGAAATCCAAATTCTGAAGTTCATTACTTCTTTTGAATTACTGATGCTGAAAGAGAAAATACAGGTCCCTAGAAAATTATATTTTCTATCCTTTTACATTTTCTCCCCACACCAAAATATTGACATCTATCATTTCTGTTGCCCACAGTAAGAAAAAGAATTTTATGTGGACAACCAAGTAACATTTTATTGAAATGGAATTTCAAAATCACACCATACAGGAAAAAAACTGGAAGAGCAGTATCTCTCCAATAATAGCTCACACTTCTTGGGATTGTATTTAAAACTACAATACAACATATGATTTTACATTGACATCTGCACTTGGTTCATATAACAAACAACTTCAGGAATGAAAACTGCTTTACGTTACTGACCAAATAGAGGCTACATATTTTTACTAATAAAATACTGCTTACTGGACCCAGTGACATGTAGTTACCGAACACAAAGCTTTAAGGTCTTGGTCCAAGTAGGTCTTACTTTTTAGTTAAGCAGGAAACAAACTAGAGTTTCTACTTACAGCAGATAAAATATACTGTGACCCTGGCTTATGGAATATGTCAAGTGGTTCACAGACACAGCCCACCCACAGGCCTATAAATCCACGCCTTATTCTTTAGTTTTAATATAGATTTGTCACCCTTCAGCTTTTTTTTTAAAAACTATACATTTTAGAACTGCCTGCTGACTTACATTAACAACCGCAGCTTGTTACTTCTGTAAAGCGCTGAGTATTTTGAATGTATGAATGACTACAAGTTATACCTGCTCCATTTTTTCAGGTAGTTAAAATAAATAATTTTGTTTCTCAGAAGTAACCACAAGCATTCAGCACCCATGCTTGGGCTAAGAGAAACATTTAGATTCCTTTGCTTGAAAGTAAACATTTATCTTAATTTGCTCTGAGTTAATTGGGCTGAAATATTACATTATTTACTACCGAAATGAAACAGAATAAATTAGCATTGCCAGTTTATGTTACCAGCGTGCTGGTCTTCCATCAGTCTCAATTTAAACCACTATACAATAAATCCAGATGACACGGGTTAATATACATGAATTGATTTCCCTCATTCCTGTCTGTTCCCATGCAGAACAGAACTGAAATACTAATTTAATACTTAATTTTTCTGATTCAGCAACTATTTACATGATACAATTGAACCTTTCTAGGTATTTAATGCTTTGCTTTCTATAACCATTGTTCAAAAACTTTCTAATTTTCTGAGTGATACTAATTTTCATATAACACATGAAGCATTCTTTACTGATGTAGAACAGTTTTTTAATCCAAGTACTAATCTGAAGTTAAAATTTTACTATATAAAGTATTTTGTGAAATTCCCTAAAGGTTTAGTGCTAAATTTTGTTCTTAGGGAATTGTTGAAGGATGCCAATACCACTCTTGTGACGGTAAATTAAAATGAATTATCTATGTATAACTTCTTATCTATTGTAAGTACTGGTGCATTTTTTCTTCATTCAATTTTTAAGAAGTATGTCAAATTTATTAACCTCATGAGCTGTAAGAAACTGAGATAGTACTGTTTCCACTAAACATAATATGAAGCTATTTAACTCAGTGGTTAGGTATTTTTAAATGGAAATAAAACTTATTTAACTATAATCTGTGAAACAGAATGAAGAATGTTCAGTGTAATTATGAACTTCTTGTCTGACCACAAAAAAACCAAAGCAATATGCCCGATGACTGCTGTGAGAAACTTGCAGAATGATTACCCAGGCTCATTAAGTTTCCAATCTTGAACCACCTTTGTGTTTTCTTAAATAATCAATTTCACCTCTTTTAAAAACCCTTAATTCCTACTGCTGGGCTGAAATTTCAGTCCACATCTTTTGCAGGTCCACAATGCATATATACAGTTACATATCACTAATACTATGATGTTCATATTTTTAATAGATTTTTTCAACCACGTGAGAGCTAGAAAAAAAAAGTCATTCTGAGGAGTCTATGTCCTTTCTTCAGACCTCTTGTATACCTGAAATTTGTTTCTATGTTCACCTCTCGGCATGATAAATGCTGTTACAGATGCCTGCAAATTTAGAGTCCTTCATGTAGTTAAGATTATTATAGAAACAAAACAAAACAAAACAAACCCTAGCATTCTAGTACTACACTGATTCATATCAGAAATAACAGAAATGAAACTGGAACATTAAAATTATTACTTACAATGTATAAAGTTTGATCTTGAAGCTCTTGACTCGCAACAGCTTGTTTAAACAGACGTACAAAGTCATTGAAAGTATCACAAGGCACATGAGAAGTCTGTTCTGTCTCAGAAGAACAACTTTGCAACTGCATGAGAATTTCTTCTAAAAGAAGTCGTGAAGTAAAGTATTCCACACAGTTCACAAACACATGAGGAAGCTTAAGAGGATAAAAAAAAGATACAACTTGATTTGGCTTTTTCAGTATAAATACTCCAAAGTCAGTTTTTTCTTCCAGACAAGACAATGGAAGAAACCACACCATGCCAACAGAATATAGAGCATAAACCAAAAGAACTTGCCAAAAAAGAATGATTACTTATGTACCTAGTCAAAATATTATATATCACAAAGTCAAGATAGATCTGATGACTCCTTATACGAAACACAATGTATCTTCTAACGATGTTTAAAAATTGTGAACAATATATAGAAAGAAAAAACCAAACAGCGTTTAGTTCAAAGAAAAGTTAGACAATCAAAACGCATTACAGTATTGTAAAACAGTCCATTACAAATTACAGTGTCTAGATAACATGAACTGCTCAAACTCATATTACAAAGTAAGTAACCTAGGAGCACACTGCCCAAAATTACTCTGAATGTTTTTGGCATTCGCTGCATACAAATGATAAAATGTAAGCTTCTATATCAGACACGTGTAATCAGTCTGCTTGTGCAGAACATTTTTAGAAAACCAGATATTTTCAGAGAAAAGAGCATGTGAAAGAAGCAGAGTAAGAGATACATTTTATGGCAATGCATATAATGTCCTTGTAAGTACCAATTCAGTAATATTGAAAAGTTAAGGTCATTTGTCTATAAATAGAAGACACTACAGACTACAAAACAGCACCAGTATTCAAACATACATAAGGCAAAAAAGGTAATTTTCTAGCAACTCTATTTTAAAGAAATACATCATTTGCATAGCTCCATACTCTCTGCTAAGGCGCATGCTCTTTTTCACACTGAACATTAAAACCTCTGGAAAACATTAGTCATTGCAATACATATGCATTACTTGCAAAATTAAACTTCTGATACAGGAATGTGTTTGTCTATAACAAAACAAACAAACAAAAATCTAAGTACTTCATTCCAGTCTTTCTACTTAAAATACAATATATGGCATATGATTCAGCAGATGTGGGAAAGTGTGGGTATATGCTGGCAATCCACTCAAACAGTGTGTAATAAAAAGCTTTCTTATGATTTTGAACACTCTTGAAAGAAAGGGGCTATATCTCCAAAAGCACCTATTCAAAGTGCTGCACCTCCATAGCAGAAGGAAAGCTGGGTGCCTCAGATGCGATTCACAACACCACATTATGTAAGAGACACCTATACTTGACGATAGGATGTTCTGTAGAAACAGTTGCTGCTTAAATCCTATTCCTTTCCAGGGTCTGGCCACATCTCTGGGTATGTTGCAAGTGGGTAGCACAGTGTTAGGAGCACTGCACAAAAGGTTGCTGCATGAAAGAGGATCATGACCACTGTCTTCCACCTTTCTCCTTCTGCAGAGTTTTTAATGAAGGGGATTTTTGCATAAAACCCAGCCCTGCAGATATGTGATAAGTGCACTCTGGAAAAGCCAAAAGTATCAGGGCTATGAGAACACACAAGTGGAAATTTATGGTTTAGGCATGAAGCAAGCCCCTATCATTGGATTTAAATCCCTGAAGTACATGACTGACAAAAACATAGGCATTAACAGGTTTAGCTGGAAATTTCTGTGATGACACCCTTTAACTTAGGAGGACTTTAAAACATGTTTTGGGAAAAATTAGAACAAACAATAAAACTAGCTTGAATATACACATTTGCTAACAGAAAAAGTAGGGCCACAAAAGTGGCAAGAAACTAATGCTTAAGTCTTCTGCCACCACTGACCAGAGAGGGACTGAAATGGACTTAAGGCCATACCTACATCATTCAAGATGACTATTTTTGTAAGAAACATGCATTCAGCCACAATGACCCACTACTTCTATATAATTCAGATTCTCACATGATGTTTAAATAGTAGGTTTCTCTGCCTGCAGCTCTTGCAACTGAAATACGTCCATTCATGACAAAGTTCCTACCTGCTTCAGGTTAGTAAGATATAACAACTCCAGTACTAATCATCAAGGATATAACTCATCCCCCAGTAGACAGCATTAAAGTAGTTTTCTTCCTTAACAATTATGGGGAAGAGACTTTGTAGTCCCAGCTTCCTAGGAATGTAAGGCTCCAAATTCAAAACTGTACAATGAATTCTCAGTAGTTTCCACTTTGTGTATTCCAACAGCACCTCTCTTATCAGTCCTCCTTGACCTACTTCTTACTTATCCCTATACTGTTTTTTAAAAGCAGGAATCCCAAGGAAGTTTACATTAGATGGCAAAGCTGAAAAAGAACGTACAGTCCTAACATTTCTGAAAGTGATGCTCATACAGGAGGAAACAGCAACAGTACTGGCATGGGAGAATAAGATCCATCCCACCAGCAAAAGACCAATCATGCCAGCTGCTCTGCTTCCATTGCTGTAACCACCCCCACAAGGCATTTGCCACCATCCAGCTGGCTTTAGATATTGCTGAATGAGAAAAATGGCCAGTCCTTTACCCTGACTCATGGATGGCAGCAAATGCCCTGCGGGGGTGGTTACAGCAATGGAAGCAGAGCAACTGGCAGTGCAGGGGCAAACCCATCAGGGCTGCTGCATTGTGGCAAGATATTGCTGCCCGGGTAGAGAACCTGGTTGTAAAAGTACGTCACATAGATGCTCACATACCCAGGAGCCGGGCCACTGAAGAACATCAAAACAACCAGCAGGTGGATCAGGCTGCTAAGATTGAAGTGGCTCAGGTGGATCTGGACTGGCAATATGAGGATGAATTATTTATAGCTCGGTGGGCCCATGACGCCTCAGGCCACCAAGGAAGAGATGCAACATACAGATGGGCTTGTGATCAAGGGGTGGACTTAACCAAGGACGCTACTGCACAGTGTCCATGAATGTGAATCATGCGCTGCAATCAAACAGGCCAAGCGGTTAAAGCCTCTATAGTATGGAGGACAATGGCTGAAATATAGATACGGAAAGGCCTGGCAGACTGATTATATCACACTCCCACAAACCCGCCAAGGCAAGGGCCATGTGCTCACCATGGAGGAAGCAACCACCATATGACTGGAAACATATCCCGTGCCCCATGCCACTGCCCAGAACACCATCCTGGGCCTTGAAAAGCAAGTCCTGTGGCAACACAGCACCCCAGAAAGAACCAAGTCAGACAACAGGGCTCATTTCCGAAACAACCTCATAGATACCTGGGCCAAAGAGCACGGCATTGAGTGGGTATATCACATCCCCTATCAAGCACCAGCCTCTGGGAAAAATCAAACGACACAATGGGCTGTTAAAGACTACCCTCAGAGCAATGGGTGGTGGGATATTGGGATATACATTTAGCAAAAGCCACCTGGATAGTCAACACTATGGGATCTGCCAATGGAGCCGGCCATGCCCAGTCAAAACTTTCACGTACTGTAGAAGGGAATAAAGTCCCTGTAGTGCACGTAAGAAATATGCTGGGGAAGACAGTCTGGGTTACTTCCCCCTCAGGCAAAGGTAAACCCATTCATGGGATTGCTTTTGCTCAAGGACCTGCATGCACTTGATAGGTAATGCAGAAGGATGGGGAAGTCCAATGTGTACCTCAAGGGGATTTGATTTTGGGTGAAAATAGCTAATGAACTGAATTGTATGATGTTAATTGCCATATAACATTGTATGGCATCATTTTTATGGGTGCTGTATGCCATATCAGCAGTATCACAGTAAAAAACACCCAGATGAATGAAGAATGAACTTTAATAAAACCAAGCAAAGTGCAGCAGTGATGGAACCAGAACTGGCTTCAACATGCAACAATCCATTATCACACCCAGGACGGGATTTCTCCTGCCCCGAAAAACTGTTATGACAGATGGAGCTCAAAGTCATGGACTAAATTAACTCAACAGACATTTTAGAGGGATGGCCTACAGACTAACGGAAGGATATCTGTGTATATATATCAAAAGACAGGAAAAGTGGTGGTGATTAATTGCAATTCATTGGAAAGGGTAGAGACCTGGGCATGACATAGAGGGTATAGAATAAAGGGTGGATACTGTCCTGGTTTCAGCTGGGATAGAGTTAATTTTCTTCCTAGCAGTTGGCATAGTGCTGTGTTTTGGATTTAGGATGAGAATAATGTTGATAACACAACTGATGTTTTAGTTGTTGCTAAGTACTGCTTATGCTAGTCAAGGACTTTCCAGCTCCCAATGCTCTGCCAGGTGCACAAGAAGCTGGGAGGGGGCACAGCCAGGACAACTGATCCAAACTGGCCAAAGGGCTATTCCATACCATATGGTGTCATGCTCAGTATAGAAACTGGGGGGAGTTGGCCAGGGGACAGTGATCACTGCTCAGGGACGGGCTGGGCATCAGTCAGTAGGTGGTGAGCAACTACATTGTGCATCACTTGTTTTGTATATTATTATTTTCCCTTCCTTTTCTGTCCTTATTAAACTGTCTTTATCTCAATCTATGAATTTTACTTTTGTTTTCCAATTCTCTCCCCCATGCCACAAGGGTGGGGGAGAGTGAGCAAACAGCTGTGTGATGTTTAGCTGCCTGCCGGATTAAACCACAACATCTGGCAATGTCAAGCTTAGTAAACACAAGCACACCTGGAGAATTGGTTTTATTACATTAGAAAGTGTGAATGGCATCCGTTTCTTAGGGTTTAAACTTATGATGCTTATCAAGCTGTGTTTGGAGGATCTAGAACAAATTAAAGTGCACAAAATTCATATTTTCAAACAGGTTCTGAAAATATAGTATTAGAAAGGACTATCAGCACACTTTTCCCATTTAGAGCTGATCCATTAAGCAAAAGAAAAATAATTTATTGTTCAGGAATTAAATCAATTGTTCCTATGCAACACTGCTCCAACATTTTAGAACTCTTGCATTGTCTCTTTTTCAAAGTTTCAGATTTTCCTGGTTCTATAAGAGGGCTGATTGGAACTAACCAAATTTACTGCAATGACTACAACATTCACCTCGAATCTGCAAAAACAACTATCGGTATCAGAAAGAATGGCAGTTGCCTGGTATTCAGAGAGCGATTTTCACCATTTCAGACTCACTTTTTTTTTTCCCCAGCAAACACGTATAGCTTGTATGTTTGCTTTAAATGCTTCTAAGAACTTTACTAAGTTTAAGCTCTTAGGCTGACATTTAAATAGATCATACACATACAACTGAATTTGATTAAAATGAGTTTCTTAACACAAAACAAACAAAACAAAATTCCACTGCTGCAAACTCTTCTCACTGTTCTTCATATACTCTCTCACTCTTTTCATATACAAGTAAAATTAGTTTAAAAGACAATTACAGGAAGATTCAAAAAAAGTATAGTATAAGTAACTCTCAGATTGAACTGTAATCACCACAGGAGTACTTACTTGTCACTGGAGCTATTTCAGGTTAAGTCAAGGGAACGAGCTGAACAAAATTTGGCTCCTTTTTTTCTTTTTTAAACTTTCTCAGAAAAGTTACTGTGATTTATATTATATCTCAGAATGTACGACTTCATTTTATCCTAAGTGCACTAGTGAGAAGAGCAATCGTTTATCAAGGGTAAGTGGAGGACAAGAATCAAGAAGGCAGAAATGGCTGAGGAAACAAACCATTTTGAGAAAGTAGAAGCTAGTTTGAGGGACCGTCTGTTACAAATAAATTCTAAACTCAATATCCATTGTGAACATTCTTACCTGTAAGGTGTTTAGAAGAGTTTGCATCACGTAAGTCTTTCCACTAGATTTATGTCCGTAGATAAAGATGGATGGAAAACTAAACTGCTGACGCTAGGCAGGGGGGAAAAAAAAAAAAAGTTATTGCTGTTTCAATTCTTCTTCTTTTTCATTCAACAGATGAATCTCTTATCAATGAAGTTTCCCTGCAAAAGAAAAGCTATCTCTTAAACTGAGGCATTAAAACATAAAATACACCAATTATTATGGAATCAACATGATCAAGTTTAAAGTTTCATCTTCACTGAAATGCTGGGAGGGTAAGTTCCAAGAGTCAAGTATTCACATAAAGCTACCAGTGAAACTGCTATAACATGAGGACACTGTTTTTCATTGGAAAAACAAAACAAAACAAACAAACAAAAAAACCCCCAAACCAACCAAACAACAAAAACACACACCATGAGAGAAAAGCAGTGGGCTCTTAATTCAAATTAGTTAACTGAAACAAAATCTTGGCAAGCACAAATTGCAAGCTTTACATTGTCCTAACTTCTGCAAACACTACAAACTGCTTTTCTTTCCATCAGCACCAAACAGAAAAGAATTAAATGGTTTGGTGGAGAATATGGTAAATGAGCTCGCTCTTCCCTCACAAGGCAATATTTGAGATAATACCTCTATTTATTTAATGGTACCGATGCCATATGTTTCATGGATTTTTTTTTTTTTTTTAAGATGCAAGGAAAATAATTAACTTGTTCTTTTTATTTAATTCTGAACAGGTACTTATTTTTATGTTTTTCTCATTTCTAAGAATCTTGTACCCTGACTTAAGGAGTGAATACAAAAATAAATTTGACAAACAGTTTTTATGAAAAACAATAATCAATTAATCCAAGATGAAGGCACTCTTGTGCAAGATATGCGGATACTCTAACCTGCATGTTTAACAAGAATTTAAGTATCTGGGTTTTTTTAAGAAGACTTGTTGCCACTATACTTGTAATAAATATATAAAACTTAAATGCTGTAATTTGACGTAATTATTATTATCTATAATTAAAGGCAGAACCAGAAACAGAGAGTAATTTCCATTTTGTTAACTGACTGTAAATGGATATATCAACTGCTTTTAAGTTTGGAGATAAAAATCTCCATTACTTTTACCACAGCTTTGCCAAGCAGTAACAGAATCAATTAACAAGCCAGTGATTTCCAAATCTTATGGCCAGCAACAGAACTACCAAGAATCAGACCAATTTCATGTACTTATTAGACTTCAGGCATGCAGATATTAGATTAACAGGTCAAAACCAAACAGAATTTCTACACTGCCACTGAAAAAAGAAAAAAAAAAAAATACCCCAGAACTTTAGACCAGGGAAGAAGACAGACTCAATTCCTGGTACTAACTGGCAAAGATGGAACAGTCATGGAGAAATCAGGCTTCAGACACAGCAAGGCACAAATAGCTGTAAGTTTGTTTGGGTCCTTCCAGCTGCAAAACAGCTTTCAACCTTCAAACTTACTAGAATATATCTGCTAAATACTAATGTTAAAGATAGGTAACAAAAAAAAAAAAAACAAAAACCCAAAACACAACACACCAACAAAGAGACAATCAAAGTATGTTCATAATGACATCACAAAAATGCCCTTAAATTTCTACTCTTTCCTCTGAGACAGCAGAAAGTCTTTGTTCTAGTCAAATGTACAATAAAAAAAGCACTACCTCTCCAAATATTGACAGCAACATGGACACTTGGGATTCTCGACAAGGCACCAAACTTTCCAAGTGAAGCAATGTAGCTGCTGGGTACACTGGATGTTCGAGATTAGGCATCTTGATGTTCCTGTAGTTAGTCACCTAAACATTCATGTCCCATTTGAGGTGCAGAGATAAGAAATAAAGCAATCTGGAAAATAAAACGTTTTCATTATCATTTGCTGTCATATATATAAAGGAGGAAAACAAACAGGAATTGACATAAAATCTAAACAGACATTCTAGCTCAGGATAATGGCATAATTATGATAAGACTTAAAAGACTTCATCAAAATCAAACTTTACTATGTAAGGCGTTACACAGACATTTTCACACCAGACAATCCAAAAAAATCAACTAAAAAGGGAAAGGCATACAGGGTATGAGCAAATCAATACAACAAAGAATTGTCATAGTTTAGTTAACTGGAAAAATACATATTTAGTTCTCGTTTTATACACATTTAAAAGTAGCAAGGGAATAAAATAAGGAAAATAGATTAGTCACAGATCATCACCTCCTTGGACAGCCAATAAACTAGGATTTACAAGTAATAGAGAAGAGGTAGGGCATAAGAAAAGATGAGGATGACAAAATAATAGCTCTTCAGATGTTAACAGGAATACTTACTGCAGCTTAAAAGCAGCAGAGGCATATGAAGAAAATCCAGCTGACGATAAAGACTGGAAATACTCCTTAAAAATAGTAGGAGCCCAAACCAGTTAGATAAAGCTGTAATATTAATTACAGTCTACCTTTTAGACAAGGCCTAGTCAAGGAAGACTGAGGGTCTTGATTGCCCAAACACTGGGAAGGCCGGATTTTAGTGATAGAATATGGAAAAACACCTCAAAGATACTACTTTGTCTGTAGCTTCTAAAACTGCTGGAAAGATGGTACATTTGTCTGTAGTGATAAGGACAACATGCAGAGAGAAAACTGAAGTAACCTCAAAAGCTGGATTCTGACTTTATCAAATATAACGTAACTTGACAGCCAAAAAGTTAGTTTAGAAATTTAGGTAGCGCAATAAAGATATCTCATCAGCAGATAGGAATATCCGTAAGTTATCAAGACAAAGATAATAAACAAACAAAGAACTCCAAACACAGTTAAGTACTTACAGCCAAATATGTTATACTGGGCATAAGTACAACACCACATGAGAAAAGATTAGGTTAGCAGAAGGAGATCAGAAACAGCATGGGAAATGGAAAGCAAACCGTTCTGAAGGAAAAAAGCAATATTGGGTTCCACTGACAGGGGACCTATTGGGCTACAAGGAGGTTCATAAATACAAACGTATTTATGGAAATACTTTATAACAGAGTTCATTTTGGGACCAAACTCTATTAAGTATTTCCATAAATACATTTGAGGAAGGATTTTTCTTTTATCTTTACACTTCACCTTCAGTGTTTTCTGAAGTAAAAATTGGGATTGTAGAATTGTCAATAGAAAAACAAGTGGAATTAACGAGGAAAAAAAGGATAACCGCAATAACAGAAATAATGCCAGTATAATGAAATTCAGTACTTCAAATTACACATATTTGTAAGTAATCACATCACACCTAACAAGGACTACATTTAGATATCAAGAAACTGTAAGTCTGAAGCAACTTGAAAAATAAACAAGTCAATCACATAGTAAGTATGAGAAATCAAAGCAATGCAGCTATCGAAAAAAACAAACGTATAATCATATGTATCAGGCAAATTATTTCCCATACAGACAATCATACAAATAGCCTCGGCCCACTGATCAGCTTTGAACAGGTCTGCCCACCTGTCCACTGTATCTATTCAGATATCTATTCAAAATGGAATGAAGATATAAAAATTGAATAGCTTGATTAAGGTGGCTCTCTAAAAATGAGCTAGGAATAAATATCAAGGATGAAAAGAAAAACATTTAGACAGTAGCCTCCAAAACAGAGGACAAACAAGGAGGGAAGGAGTTTTAGAAAAGGCTAAAAAGTTTGCATGGATTTAAGAAAAAAGACACCTCTCTTGCTCCACTGACTACATCAGAACAGGCCTTGACTCAGTGTCCTAAACACATCTAAAGCCGTAAAGTACTCCAGCTTCTCCACCCTGCTGCCCAACCGCGCTCCAGAAAAGCATGAATCGCCTGTCGGTCACATCGTACCTGCCAGTCCCATTGGGTTCTCACACACCCTAGCACAGGTCAACTTACACTAAACACATTTAAACCACTGGAAGAAAACCTACATCTCGACTGACTACATGCAGGTATCTTAATCTTCAACGGGATCCCATCCTGGAGTTCACAAGAGAAAGGATGTTTAGAGCAACGTGTTCACAGAACAATTAAGTTAGATTCAACGGCAATGCTGACACAAGGGCTAGCATCTGCCGAAGCTTGAATTCGGGATGTTCCTGACTGGGGAAAGTTGTACAGTGGTTGTACATGTGACTCCCAGCCAGGTCAGGAGGGACAAAAAGCACTTATTTTCCAGCTGAGTCCAGGTAAGTACACCGAAAGGACAAGTTAGATTTCATGGCTGGATTTGTTGATTTAGGAGGGCTTCTCTCAGTTCACTGGTCCTAAAATACCTACACCTGGCATGTCTTTCTACAAGTTATCGCCAACGTTGACGGAACTGCGGGGGCTCGCACCGTTCTG